GAGAATTTATAAGGAACATCACAGCCACTGCTGGTGCATTGGGACACCTTGCTCCCACCACCAGAACCCCTTGCTTTGACACTATAATCCTCACACACCTGCAGCACTTTGTCTATCACAGTTACAGTCATTTACAGAGAACAGCACGTCCACTTATTCCACTCACTCCTGCTCATGCTATTCCAAACAATAAACAGTGACCAAATAAAGCCAAACTCCATCTCCTACTAAAGCACTGGACCTGAACCTGAGCACTGAAGGTAGGCTGGTGTCCTGCAGCTGTTACCACTGATTTTGGTTTAGGAGAATGCCAATGCAGCAATGCTTTTGAAGGCCAAAATTCAAAAGTCATAGGCAATTTTCACTCGGTACTTATTATGACAAATCACATTGGACAATTTTGCCCAAAGATTTTGGATTGTTTATATGAACACGAAACAAATCCTGCCCAAACTTTTTGGCTTTTATTAGTCAACATGAGCTGGCAGAACAGTTAACAAAAGAATTCTTAGCTCCTGGCCTAAATTCTTGAGGCTATGAAAGAGGAAGCAAAAAAAAAACCAAGCAAAATTGTGCTGTGGAAACCTGGACTACAGATTATTACATTGCACTGTGAACATGCATTTTATCTTTACAGGAAATACAGCAGCAATAAAAATAACACTCTCCCATCTCACTCTGACCACCTTTCAGAAAGACAGGCTCTCTTTGAGCAAGTCAGAAAATTATAGATGGACAACTCTATGCATTTACTGCAATGCTTCATGTAGAAAGCATTGTCTCAAACTTGAAAGTGCTTAAAAGTGGTCATAACTACTTTAAATTATGTACTTCTTTTTCCTCTCCACCAGTGAAAAATAAAGAAGGATGCAATAAATAAAACAGTGGAAGGAAGCCAAAAAGGTATTTATCTTCATGTTATTTTGTGGCTTACCACATCATACTGAAGATTTCAGCATTATACAGTGTTGAATGTTATGTCAATTTGCCTACCAGGAGAGAGTGGTTCCTTTCTCTTCCAAAAGTGGATGTAGGAAGTAAATCCACTCTTTTAATTGCAGATTAGTTTAGAAGGGAAGTGGTTATAAAAACAAGAAAGTTAAACTACCATCTATTTTATCTGTGTCAATCAATCATATTAAAATAAAAGTGTGAAAAGTCTGCTTAATCTCAACATGATGCCTCTCAAATCTGCAAACATGCTTTGTCTGTAGTACAGACCTTTTTGATTTCATATTTGACAGGTATTGGGAATTGATTTCCTTCTGGTTTTTTGCTCAATCTTTTCCAAACCCTGACACATTAGCTTATTCCAGACATTTTTCAGCTTTCTCCTGTTCCCACACTTGATATACTTCCAAATTCAAGATCTTGACCAAGTAGAATTCTCACCAAGGCCCAGGAGAAACATCAAACACACATACTAAGCATACATAAATTTAAATAATCTTTGAAAACTGTAGGGGGCTGACAAATGCATGGCTTTATGTATTGATGCAGCTCTTTAATCTAGACAACTAGAAAAGTTGAAGACAATTGAAGCAGAGACTACAGGAACAAAACATCATTCATTTGGGTGGAGCATGATCTAGGATGGTCAAAAAAATATTTGCAAGGTGAACAATTAGAATGACTGCCAGTCCTGGGGCAGTCTTTTTCTCCTCCACTTTCCAAAAGAATACCTTTTTCTAGGGCATTTAGAAGTACAAGAAATATTTTTTCTTTGTTCTCCTAAAAGACTTTTATCTCAGCTTCTCCATCATCCTTAAAGATGTTGAGTTGCAGTTTGTGCTATTAGACTGTTTATGATTTTTCCTTATTTCTATTCTTGGTTCACATTTCTCATTTTAGAATATGTCTTTTCTGGAAACAACTGTCATGTAAACACTAAAATAGCATCAATAAGCCTAAGAATGTACATATTAAATGTTCATGACACACAACCTTCAAATCCCATCTGACCTTGTTGGCTTGTTTGCATTATGTTTTGTTTTTTGTATTTAAAAGGTTTTATGGTATTTACACCCACATTCCTATGGTGCAACTTTCTTTTGAGATATATTCCAATATTTTCCAATAGATTTATTGCCACAGATATGATACAGAATAGGCCTATGTTCTACAGAATGGGCCTATGTTCTAATCCAAATTCCTATATGACATTTCCATTTCAGAGAAGAGAGTTGCTACTGCCTTCCCTTTACTTTTGAAAAATACTTCTTGGTTTTGAACATTAAGTTGGTGCAATTTCTCCCAATAGGCAGCAAATAACTGAATTTATATTCATACAGTCTATAAAATGCAGATTGCATAATACAGCATGATGGCTCTATTCCATTATGCTTCATTACTAGGTTGGAAATTACTCACACAGTATGTTTTTCTCTTTAGTACTCTATCAACCTAAATTATGGCTGCACTGTAGATTACTCTATCTAGTAAATAAATACAATTCCTGCCTGGCACCCTACTAACAGTGAGCAACACTTTCCTTCCCAGGTGGCCTGAGGCCTTACTTCAATTCTAGCCATGTAATTACATTCAACCTGCCTAAGGTCTCCTTTAGACTTTGCAAATTCTTCATTTGTCATGATTTTATAGTGGTGCCTCAAGCAGCGGAACAGCTACACTTGGATGCTACAACAATCTTGGTAGCTCACTATAACTTACCTCAGCTGTTTTCCATACTTTCCAGAATCATGGGGAAAAAACTGATCACGGGGAAAAACCTGATAGAAAACAACATGGTGATGGCGTTTTCTTTCAGTATTTAAAAATGAATGACTGAGTGCATTATCTGCCTGAAGAAGTAAAACTGCTCCTTCTTCATCTTTAATGCTCATGATTGACAGGTTATCTAAAGCCTCTGGCATTGCTTGAGAAAGCAGCATTAAACTAAATCTAGAGACAAGTATGTAACCAATGATAACTTGAAGATAACAGAGCAGGAAAGGAAGTATAACAAGTGGATATCAACAGCAGGCTGGGACTTTTTAAATCAGTAACTCCAATCTGAACATCCACCTCTGTGGTACAAACATAAACCAGTAAAATTAGTCTAAGGTTACAGTTCTATTCTTTCAGGGAGAAGTGATCCTTCAATGAGGAGGGTTAAGTATTTTGGAAGGCATCACTTCAGCATGATTAAACATCTAAAAGAAAGACAAATTCTAGTTCACTTTCAGAAATGTTGAACAGCAGACCGTGATGCAAAAGAAGACACAAAACTCTGCAATCAACAGAACTGCATCAGAGAATAGAGTTCTGTTGCACAGCACTAAAAGTTCCACTGTGAAGGCAGTAAACTCTTTATGCCCGATCCAAGATTATTTATTACTCAAGATTGTGTTTACCCTTATGCTCTGTGAGGACCGAAGACAAAACCAGGAGGAGAAAATTCCTGCGTACAAACAAAAACCACATACATAACACTGGAAGAAGCAGACATTTTCTAAACTTTGAGGGAGGAGAAAAGGCAAAAAAAATCCTCAGAAAAGTAAGGGAAATACTCTGAACCCACCTCCTCCTTCTAGTAGTTCGTTACTCATCTCTAATTCAGAAACAACAGTACAAGTTACTGTCCCTTGTCTGATAGAAATCTGCAAACAGGTTTTCTGGTTTCATTTGTCTAAGCACAGAAGCATTTTTTCTAAGATTTTGACTGAGATTTCCTCAGTGTCTGAGAAAACTTTTCAGTCCAAACTTACATAATTGCTGATAATTCCCACATAAAAACACAAAGACTTGCAATATCTGCCTGTGATACTAACTATTCACATTAAGGTGTTTAAAGTGTCATTTTCTAGAAGAAGATCACTCTACTCTTCAGTTTCTGAATTTCCAAGCTCCAAATTTATCATCACACTGCTACACGTAACATATGCACAGTATAAAAGTTATATTTGTGATCAGGGCACAGTTACGGATCTCTCCAGCTTCCCAAATAAACATTCTCAAGAACAATATACTGGATAACTGGTCTAATTTTCCTATATACCATGCACATATAGAAAACATAAAATATATGTACAAAAGTTGTGAAGGAAAAGACATTCCTACAAAATTGACATTTCAAATGAAACCCACCAACAAAAATAGGATATGCATATTTAAAATGGGCAAGTACATCATTCAGCATTTCCTAAAATTTAATTCTTAATTATCTAATGCTGCTTTCTAGTTCACCATCTGAAGATGGTTCAACATCTACTCAATCACTGAGATGAAATTGGGTGTAGGCAAATAGCCAAAAACATTACAAAGTTCTTCCACTTGAAGCCCTTAAAATCAGGGAAGAAAAGCAAACAAAGAGACAGAGGGGAAACAGAAGAACTGAAATATTAAAAACCCAAACAGACATGATGTGAAAACAAGAAAAGCCAAAGGGATGACATGAAGGCCAAGAATATGTACCAAATCTTGACCAATTAATCTGCATTGAAATCTTGAAATTGGAGGACAGAGTTGAGCAAACACTCCAAAAAGGACATAGTGTCATTCAAAAAGGAAACGGAAAAATACAGAAAATTTGAAACAGAGTGGCTACAGCCAATGGTACAGGATGAAATGTGGTGCAGTTAGAAGGACCAACACTTGCCAAAATTAATCCAATTGAAATCCCTAAACTCTAGGAAGGAAGGGAAACAAAGACAGATGTGAAACAGAAGAATTTAAATTAAAAAAAAAAAAAAAAAACCAACACAAAAAAACAATAGGACAGTTAAACAGAAAAAGCCAATGGGATGACCTGAAGTGCAAGAATATGGACCAAAGCTTGCCCAATTGATCCTCATTTCCTCATTTAAATTGCTGGACTTCATTCCCTTTCTTGAAAGGAATGAAATCTTGAAATCAGAGGACAGAGTTGAACAAACACTCTAGAAAGAATATACAGACATTAAAATATTAAGGTGACGTATCCAGAAGAATCTGTAATGGAGACTGATCAATACTGTTAAAACTTAACTAAAAATGCATTTGTTTTTAGTAGCAGTACTCACAGTAAAAGTTATGTCTTGCTTGTGGGTTCCTCATTTGGTGATGCAATATTCTGGAGTCACCATGCTTTTGTTCTAAGATAAAGCATTTTCTTTATTGCTGTGTTTAAGAAGTCTTCTAAACAAGTCATCTCTTCATAACATATTCTCTTTTGAAGCACTGTTATTTTCTCTCTGTGTATTTCCTGTCCAAAATAGTAAATGTACAAATAAAGGTAAGGTGGTAAGTTAGTAATTAGGACACATGGCATTTCTATAATGGTGTAAATTTTCATAGTACTTTACAGATTGTCACTGATACAACATGTTAAGAAGCACCTACAGACCTGAACCAAAATTATTTTGGTCTCAAACCATTGAATAATTGTACCTGAAATGTTCCAGAAATTTTAAAAGAATATACCTTCTTTAAATTAGCAAATCAAAACTAGCTTTCTAATAACTCTTCATTTCTTAAGCACCATTCACATGAAGCATATGCAGCACGCAGTCTAATTTTTGCTAAAGATCCCCAGGATGTCAGGTGTGCCTCTAAGTAGAAATTTGTTCCATTGCTTATAGAAGGAAGATAGGAATTACTACAATTCCTTTTCTTATTTATGATTTTCTTAAGGAACAGTCACGAAATAGGCTGTTAAGAATCTTTTCTCAATTCTATCAATACTTACTTATCAGGATGCTGATGAGGAGTTAGTGGTTTTAAGGAGGGAATAATAATCTTTAGAATTTGGTTTTCTCTCTTGTAAGTTTTTTAAAATTTGTCTTTCCCATCCCTTCCTATGTCCTGCAATATTATGCATATATCAGACACATTTTGAAAAAGGATCCTGATTCACTTAGGTCCTTACCTTCACTTGTCCACAGACTTGCCAAGTTCAGATGTCATTAATTTGAGGCATATTTCTTATATTTTCATTGAACTCCTTAAAAGAAAATAATGCATTGCAATCATTCCATACAAAATCATATCACAGAGCAATCTTACATAGAAACTCTAGTCTATCAGTCACAATATTTTTGAAAATATAATTGCCACTACAGTCACATAACAAAGTAGACAAAGAATAGCATTTTAAGTAATGTGGTAATATGGCAGTCATTGACTTATTCTTACACCTCTGACATATCATTTTAACTACTTGAAGATGTCATGAGGGATTAAGAGAATGATTGTAATCATCTTTCTCTCTCAAATAGTCTATATAATCCATTTGTAAATATATGCAGGCACAAGCAAACAAATACCTTAATGAGCAAAAGAAAGTCTAGCTTGACCTCTGAGATTTTAAAATGCAGCCAAACAACTATGCATGCTTCATTTTCAAACCACTGTTTCATATTCAAGTCTTTTTGACCAAGAGATGAACTCAAAATAATACAATCAGAAAAAAACCCAGCACCTATTTCTGAAGGCTGTGTCATGGATAACTCATTCCCAGTTCTATTCAATGAAAAATGAACTTTTCTCATTAACTTCACAGGTTGCTAACCTGAACCCAGACTCCAGAAACAGAACAAAGTGACAGAATTCTTAGCAAGGAAAAGCACCATATGCGAGCCCTGTAATAGATACTTCAATAGTTTCATACACCTAAATTTCACAACTTTCTACCAGCAGCTCTAATATTTTGCTTAAGGCCCTGAAGTCAGAGAAACATTGTAGACCAGCAGGGTTTTGGTTTTTATCTTTGATGGTTAGTTGTGGGGCTTTTTTGCAGTTAAAAGCTGAAAGTATGAGTAAAGACCAAAAACAAAACAGGAACACAGTAGTATTTTTTACTGACTTTGCAACTTTCTTCTTACCAAGAGCCAGATAGCTATGGTGGGTGTGGACATGCAAAGTCAAGGAAAATCTGTCTTGCAGAAAAATTTACCTGTGTGTTATTACTAATCATTAGTGTAAGAAGTACTTTTAATTAGAGAATACTTTCTACTTTTGCACATTTATAGTACAGGGTCCCAACTATTCTGTAAGTAACTCAACTGTTCTGATAGACAATGCTCCTCTGCTCCCATTTAATTTGAAGTGATACAGATCTTTTGATCCCCCCTCCTAACTTGCTGAAATTAAACCTGTACATGCTACCACCTAAGAACCAACTGAAATCAATACCACAGAAAACCAAATCCCAGGGATTTTGGGTAAAAAAGAAATATGAAGTTCTTAGAAGTGCAAGAATGACCAAAGTTAGTCTAAGCAAGCCTGAAAACATAAATGATCATTACAGATTTTTCACATAGCATGTGTTTCTGCTCTAATTCTGTTTTGATTGCATGTCTTTTTTTTCAACAGGAAAACTCATTTGTGTGGTGTGCATGTTTATGAAAGCGATTTCAGATGATCAAGTCTCTTTACTATTTTAATCACTTGGTTCTTACAGAAGCACACAGATTGCCTGGTCTAATTTCTGTTAAACTGTGTAACCCAGTTTTGTGAGCAATTGCCACAACTCCCTGTAAATCTTGTGTGCCTGCACTTGGTTACTGACAATAATTAGGAAAGAATGAATTGTGTTCCCTTCATATGAGACAGTTAATGAAAATCTCCACATGCAAATACAGAGTAGGAGAAGAGTTAGACTCTATGAATAAGAGGCTAATTGACAAGTTTTCTTGGAATTCCTAAGGGACTGGGATCTCTGCTGAGTTTTCCACTGAGAATTAGGGCAGATCAAATTATCTTTTCTTTGATTAAATAATACAAATCTCATTCATAGTCTAAGACTATGCAGCCATAACTCTGATATCAAGTCTCTTCATGATCTTCAATTTTAATAAATTGCATTTTCTAGAAATTGAAAAAATATTACAGCTAGTAATAAATCCTATATTAATTTCAATCTTGTCCTTACTGTCTATTTCCTCCCTTTATTTTTCCTAGTCTTTTCTCTCCAATCCTGTCAACAAAAACCTTTTTTCAGGATCTCTTTAGTCCCATTTGCAGAATACACTTAGATAGTCCAGAAGATTTTCACCTCAGATAGAGAAAATTATGCTTAGAAAAAGCCCAAAAATTAGTTTCATAAGTTTATCTACTTTATGAAAATGTCTTGGCTTTTTTTTCTCTTTAGTCTGTATTTTTGTCGATTTATCTATATTTTTTTCCTGTTCTGATTGCAATTTGCAGCTGTGAATATATCTCCCCAAAAGCCTAAATTATGCATTTCAGCAGAGTTCAAGAACATTATTCACCCCTCAAAATTGCTTTACCTGTCTCTTTTTCCATCAAAAACTGCATGAATGAATTCCACGTTCCTCTTGGCAGAATTTTAGCACATGCAAATACAGTCAATTTCGATGGGTGTGCCACAACCACACACAATGCACACACACAGCAATCCAGGATTTGGAGCCACAGCACTCAGCACAGCTGAGACAACCACCACACACAGCATAGCTTCATACAATTCCAGACAGCATCAACCCACACAGCATAATAACACACCAGAAGGCATCAAGCATCCACCCTCCTGGTTCTTCAGCCCAACCTTTTATGCCCCTCATGTTCATGCAGTGCCCCTGTGTGCCCTCTGCTCCCTTTGGTGATGCTCAGTGCCCCTGGGCACTCCCTGGCTCATTCCCTTCAATGCTGCTCACCTGCTTCTCACAGCTGGAGCCCATCAGGAATGAAGTTCAGCCACAGCCCCACTCCCAATTACCACAAACTGAGAGCCTACACCCAACCTTGGAGTTAACCCCAGAACCATTTTCTCTAATGTACCAGAGAAATTTTTACTGTGCTCTATCAGCTAATAGAAGACAGAAAGCATTCAAAGTTTCTGCCTTCTACCATGAGGTATAAACCTGTTGACATATTGTAACAAATAAAACCAATTACTCAAATTGCCCTTCTCTGAAGAGGGTAATAAAAGACTTTACTGCTGACAAAGTTCAGCAAAGTTCAGATGCTTTCCTCACACCTAAAACATGGAAAAAAGAGAGAGGAAACACTTGAATGTCCCACAAGTACTGAAAGTACTACGTTAAATACATCCACTTACTTCATCATCTGGGGGAACTGGCCTCCGTGCCTAGTATCTTAGAAAATGGGCCAATTCCAAACACAGCCCAGGTTCAAAGCCAGTGCACAGAGACACCTGACCACACGGGAAAGTTGCTCCCTCAAATTTCATCCCATGACTGCACTTAGTCCTTGTCAAGGGGATAAAAACCCAATAATCAGACCTGAAACATCTTCCTATACAACAGCGTCTTCCTCTCTCTCTTGTGCCTGAAGTTATGTCATTTTCCTCTTGACCAAAACCAGCTGAACTGCAGGTGTTGATTTTAACTAAACTCAGTTCGTGGGACTCGCATGCTGCCTTACAGTGAATCAGCTTTTAGTGAGTTGTTGTTTGCTGCCTCTTCTCTTCTATTACTTCTCACATCAGCCACAATGCCTGAAAATTGTCCCCACAGGCAGGCTGTAAACCTGCTAACCCTTGAAATGGGCAAGTTTAGCATTTCAGCAAGCAAGCCCTAAATGAGTGTGGGTAAACAAACCAGGAGTGCACTCTCCGATTGAATCTGTGACTGTCTTCGTTGAAATGACAAGTGCTTTCCTTATTTAAATAAAGGCATCAGCTATATTGCCCTGTGAAGTGCAATGCACTGCCTAAAAGTGTATTGTTTTTATCTATTCATACCAGATATGCCATTTATAGGGCTAAACTTCACCACTGAAAGAGTGACATTATTATGTCATGAATAAAATATTCAAAGGAAGTATTTTTCTTATCTAATCTTATCAGATGAATTTAATTCCTTTAGAAATCAATTACAAAGAGCACTTTGGAAAATTCACACATAAAACTCTTTAGAGTTAGAAATGTAAACTAATTTTCTAAATAAAAAATTGTCTTCTCTCAATGGCATATGGATCCTAAATAATCAATCATCTAATTCTCTAATAATGCTTCTGCAACCTCATTTTATTGAGGCAATATTGTAAAAATCCTTGGACAAAATAAGGTACCTTGACTGTGGCAGAACTGGAAGAATTAGGGTTAAAACTGCTCCAGCATAATTCTTCAGTCCCTCAATTGCACTGCAATTGCAGAAAAGTCATGCAATCCCTACAAAATTCTGATCTACTGAAGCTGTTGGAGGATAAGGGTTTGAACCTATGCACCACTGATTTCAGGTACAATTAAAGTATGTGCAATGATGAATTTTTTTTTTTATGTAAGGAAGAAGAAACACATCCACAGGAAACAAATTGTTAATTTTAGATGCAAAATCACATTTTTAAAGGCATAGATATCTATATGCACCTGTTGGCACAAGAAGTATTATTAAACAATAGGAATATTTTTTGTATTTTCATATTACATATTATACTGACACAAAACCACAGCTTCAGTGAAAGTAAAAGGTGATGAACCCAAAACTAAAGAGAAATTTATTTTCATTCAGTGTGACAATAATTTAAAAAATCCAAATGACTACAAGTATTTATGTGACTGACTATTTTTTATGAAGAGTAATATCCAGAATTACTTGTCATGAAAGGTGTAAAAGAAATTAATATCATCTTAATAAAATTTCTCTTTCTTAATTTAAATATTTATGAATATTTAAGATTATGAATCCTGCAAAAAATGTAAGAAAGACACAGGTCAAAGTATGGATATGGGAAAAAAGCACAGGAATGAATATGAGGGAATAGCACTAGAATAGAATAACAGAATCAGAAAGACTAAGAAGCAAAATTAGTTTTAAAAGCAATGATTGATAGGGGAAAAAAAGCAACCAAGGCGAGGTTCAATTAATACTTCAAAATTCAGTGAAAAACTAAGGAAAATACAGACTCATTACTTCACAAGGGAAAAAGGAAACAACAGATGACTCAGAAAGGTTGAAGTCTAACCAAATCAGGAAAACTGTGCAATTAACATCATCCTACTCACCTTACTAAGCTGGAGTTCCCCCCAAGAATAAGAGATCCCCATGTCTCCGTGGAAAAAAATCTATGTAACCGTGAGGTAAGTTAATGGCAGTTACCAGGTTGCTGTTAAATTAATATTTATGCTTTGGCCATTAAAGTCTGGGAAGGAAAAATGAACTGTTCCAGCCATTTTACATGAACAGTGTGGCATGAGAGTGTATTTGGCTTTTAGGGGAGGATAGGAGTATGACAACTTGTGTTTCTAAGAAAAGCACTCTCATCATGAATGATATTGCAGCAGCCTCAGATATGGCCTCTTAGCCAACAGTCAGGGGAAGGAACGAGTGCTCATGAAAAGGCTGACAATTTAGAGGAGAGAATGGAGTACAAAAAGAGAAATTTGGTAACCAAAAATCCAATTCTGTCCTGTTTTAATTTTGGCACAGCTTTCAACTATTTACTGCATTCTTTTTTTTTTTCTTGTAAGATCATCCTCCTCCAAAGAAGTGAGAAACAGCCCATCCCTAAGCAGATGATCTCTTCATGCATGCTCATAAACTCCCAGTTTCAGCACAGCCAAGGATGGATTTTGAAAGCTGGATTCTGTTCCTGCTGGATGAACAGAATCAGATGGATGCTGTCTGCAGCTAGATCTGCAGTAACTTGCTATGCCCAACAGATCTGTGGAGCCAGGATTAATTTGAAGACTGTGAGACTGTATCACTAGAAAGAGACAGCATAAATCCATATTCCCAGCATGAAAATGGAGTTATTTACTTTACTTTTCAGAAACTGACTAAAATTTTGTTTCAATTATACAAGAGTACATTTCAGTTACAGAAAAATTGGTGGTTTTGTATATTTGAGGCAGATGGATGGCTGCTCTATCTTAGAAAAGCAGAGCTGCATGTTAGAAAAAACAATACCCCATAAGATAATATTTAAATATTTATACATAAAATAGGTGATGCCAGACACTCAAACATTTCACACATGTCGTTTGCATTCAATTAAGCTGTTGTGTTGGATGATGGCAATGTGACATTAGGAAATTGTAATGAGCCTTTCTGATGAGTCTGACTGCCATCCAAGTAGCATCTCTGGAGCAAGACTGGCTTCCTTAGTTGTTCACATCCCCACCACCCACTCAGAATTTCTGGTATATGTCTCAAATCTACATTGCTGTAGTAGGGAGGTGAAAAATCTTACCCAAGAAGCATCAACACATAAATGGGTTGAACTAAGAGCCTGTCTAATAACTATATTTCTCTTTCAGTGCTGCTGGGCAGTGTATTCCAAGTGGTGGGGGTGCTGTGAAGACCCCTTCATCTGAAGGAAGGCAAAAGCTCCATGGTCCTTTGGAAAGGTCAGTATTAGTAATTCTCTCAGTAACAGCATTAAGAAAATCCAAGCCTGCAGGTTGCCTATTATTAAATACAATAATTATATTAATGGACATCCATTACAGATGTACCTCATCCTTTCTAATGATTTCATAACCACGAGGAACAAAATTATTTCTATTTCCCATGGAATACATATGTCAGATTTAATGGTCTGAAAGATTAATAAGTACTGAGCTGCTAAATCCAAACTAGCATCCGTGAAAATCAAAGTGTTCTTCATTGCACTGAAACAAAAGTCATTAGATATTTTCAGGTCATGAACTGAAACATAATCTTCTGGCCAGCAGACAAAAGGAGTAAACAGAAATATTCCCAGCCATTTCTATACAAAGTATAGAGAATTACTGCTAAAATGTGAATCAGTTTAAATCTGTACCCAAACTATTTCAAAGGACAAGGGACGTTGCTGCTCTCCATAATAAGAAACTGTATTGTTCTTCCATGGATTTATGGATATTTGGGTTCTATAAATAGCTAGTTGAAAGCATGCATTTCCTCCTACAGAAATGCAGGGAGATGCTGCTAACTGATGATCTTGAGGAAGGAAATTTACTCTTCACCAATTCACCAGGTGAGGGAAGAATCATACCAAAAATGGATCCTGTTCCTACTTCCTCCTGCAGGGTTAGTTCCACAGTCAAGAAAAAGTCTCACGGGGATACAGAGGTGTTCTCCCACTCCTGTGACAAATAAATTTACACTTCAAGGCCAGCAACAATCATACGAGATGGGGGGAAAAAATACAAGCTAGGATGAATACAGGAGAGGACTCCATCTCTACTGTGTGGACTGTAGCAACTTGGAAAAGCAAGTCAAAGTCAGGAACAGGAAAACTGCAGATGCTTTCAAACCTTTTGTTCCTCCCAAATCCTTTTTAAGCTAAGGGGGTTTCAACTGTCCCAGAGAACGCTGAGGAATAACAATCAACAAGGCAATGTGAGTAACAAAAGTCAACTTCCTTGCCACTACTTATGACAAGGAGCAGTTAACCCAATTCCAGTCTTAGCCTCAACCATTAACTTTTGCAACAGAAATAAATTTTCCTTCCCACATTGCTGGAAATCTTTGCAGCAGCTCTGTCATAACACAAGTAGCAAGATAAAAACTGTTTGACAACCTTGTTTAGCCTGTATCTTTCCCGTGATGAGGGAATTCTAGCTCTCTGACCTTTCTTCTCACCAACCTGTCATTTTACATTTTGTTTCTGCATTTAATCTGAATGTTGCTAGTTACCAGAAGAAAACAACAAATCATCACACATATCCCTAAATCCAGCTGAAGGCACTAAATGTAACAGTGTGATAAAATTATACCAATTACATTACATTAAAAATACAAGCACCTAAAAGCATGAAAATGAATAATTAAGAACATCAATCTGCTGCCCATGATATCACCACATTATGCCTATTTCAGCATAACACCATTAACTGTCACACCTTGATTCTTTTAAAAATGTATAATTTTGTTTTCTTGATGTCAGTAGCTAAAAGTGTTCCCTGAAAAGAGTGGGTTCTGGGTGGAATGTACATAGAAGCAGGAAAAAAAGGAAACATTACTTAGCTGTTAAAAATAAGTTGTGTTGAGTACTGCACCTTGGCTTCTACTAATGGGGAGTGAAAAACATGAAGTATGTCAACTCAAACAGATAATGCCTTGGAGGTCTAAAGAGCCAGAAGCCCAAAATACAAAGACAATCAGATGCAGGATGGTCATTTAGTCAGGCATAGGACTAATACAGAACAGCTTCCCCAGCAAAGACATCATAAATTTGAAAATTACTATCCCTACCCCTAAATCTCAGTATTTTCTGCCAAGTTTATATTGTATCTATGAAGTCAGGCCATGCTTTTGGATGGGGGAATGAATCATCTATTACTATTTCACACCAGGTCATTCAAAATAGAAAACTTAACCTGACCTCTTTAATATAATAATGTCATATTTCAATCATGCCAACCTGAATTTTTCTGCATAAAACTTACATAAAAGAGTTTGAATAAGCATTTGTACAAATTTTTACAATTTAACAATTGCAGTTATCTTTGTATTCTCTTTCTTTAAACCAACAAGAGATGTTCCATAGAGCTGAACATGGAAAACACATTTCAAAACTGTGTTCACAACTCTGAATTTCACATTTTCACTGGGACCTAATCTGAAACCAGTCTCTTTTACAAGTCCATGGGAACTGTGCCATTCACTTCACCCATGTTAGAATATCACCTATGTTCCCATTTAACTCAGAGACTAAAACACCAGGGCCGAATTTTGCAGGTTTGCTCTTGCACAACATTTTTTATTTGTTGCTGTTTAGCAGAACTCCTTGTAGCACTTGAGAGACTGCTCATGTTATTTGAACCATTTTCCTAATGGGAAACAAGAACAACTTTCAAAGGATTCAGGTAGTATCTGGAAAAATACATGAGAGATGAAACCTGAAGATGGATTTCACAAGCTGAAAGAGAATAGATCATACTGAATTATTCATCCAGCTCTAAACATTGATTAAATCCATAGCTGGTGGCTGAGGTCTCAAGCCAACACAAATTTACAACTGAACAAAATTTAGTACCAGAAATAGTTCCATCAGTAGTGTTGCAGAGCAAGCTGCAGTTTCTCCTTCTCTCATTTTTGAGATACACTCAGTTAAGATCTTATTATCATGCTTATATAAGAGAGGGGGAGAAGAGGACTTACATTTTTCTAACTTGGAGTTCAAAGACAATAGATGCATCTTTGCTTTGCTCTCGTGCATTCTCCTATAACATTATTTTGTTGTGATAACAGAAGTATATAAGTTCAGGCAGTATGTGGAGCTGGCTTTAAAACAATGTTAGCTATTGATTAAAGAATATGGATAATTAGTTTAAATTCTTGAAGCTGTGACAGGAGCAGACAGAAATTACTTTCTGTCTTTAAACTGGCAACATCTGAGTAGTTGCTATTTGCAAGTGTAAAGTATAGGTCATGGCCATGTAGAAAGCAGAATATCTGACCTGATCAGTCAATAGTCAAAAATTATTCAGAAAGTCATATGTCCCTACATTCTCTAAAAGTCATAGAAATACGAGTGTTGCACAAGGAGGCTTGATAAAATCAGACTATTGTCATGGTCTGCTACAAATGCAAAGGCAGACCACTGCTGGTGTAGCAAGCAGAAATTCAATCATTTCAGATGGTTCTCAAGATGTACAGCTTGCTGTTTGTGTTCTGCCTATGGAGAGTTCTGTTAAGGGAAGCCAAGTACTGATGAAATGCTATGGCTTTGCAGGCTCCCTTTTTCCTGATGACTATTTATTCTGAAGTTTAATCTGTCAAACTGGAGGAGTAGGAAGCAACAGAATGCCCTACAAAGTGTCATTATTTCTGTACCAGTAGAGTACATGCATGTGTAATTCATACTGAAATGACATTTGTCATCCACAGTTTCCTGTGTTGTTTAGGGCACAAAAGTAAACAAAGACGAGTAATTTTTGTTTTGATTTTTTTTCAAGAGAGTAATTAGAAAATGTCAGAGTTGACTTGTGCATAACATTTTCAAAGGATTCTCTAAGTCATTTCTCCTCCTACTTAATTTGGTTTTCTATTGGCAGAATTATATTTGCTTGAATGGAATCACTCTTGATCTAGTCAAGTGTGAGAACAAAACAATCTAATTCCTTTGTCTCTTCCAAATCAGCATTGTTGTAATACTCCCAGTTCTTTCAACACATCTATGATCTTCAAAAAATATCATGGTACAAAAGCTAGTCTTCTTTAATCTGCTCTATCTTGGTCAAATTCCAAGCTTCATGTCATTTTTGTTGCTAATATTACCTCATTTCAAAATAAGTCTTTGTACATTTTTTCAGCTCAAAACTTTCCTTAATATAATTGCTATAATTGTACTTTAACTACAGCACTTGAATGGTTGAGAAAAACATCT